AAATTGTGATTTGTGATATTGGGCTTTATAAATAAAATTGATTGATTGATTGATTGACTTACTTTCTGTCCAGAGCGACGTTCAGCAGTTACGAGCCGTCACGTGTTTTTAGAATCCATCGAGGAGAGAAGTAATCCATCAGGGAAACACTTCAGAAACATTATAAAGTGATAGTTGTACGTTTTATCCACTTATTTCTCAAATACTTAAATAATTATTTACTGTTTTGGAAGCGGTGCTTGTTAGACGGTGACAGCCATGTTGATTCTCTCGTCCAATCACAAATTGCGTTATTAGATGGTGAAACGCGTGTAAACAGCCGAACCAATGACCGTTGCGAAATAGCAGAAGCGATCCTCAAAGAGTAAATAATGACCAAGATAGTTATCTGTAGTTTACCAAATTAACTAAAAAGATTAGTTTGATGGGTCCCTGCTTATGGCTAATACGTATGAGGCTCAGGCTGTATCTTTTGGTATGGTTGTGGCCAAGAAAATAATTTTGCAAATGTGGATATCTGACTGCACCAATGTATGAGATGTGTCTAAGAGAAATAGGGAATGTGTTAAGCCTGGAAAGAATTAGATAGCATAATAAAGGTAAATTGAAATACTTTGCTACAGTACCTTGTACCTTGCTACAGTACGTATGTCTGAGTGGTGAAGTCTGACAAGCTCCTAATGATTTGTATACATGTTATTTTGGTCGCTGTAATTATTTCATTTTAAATCTTGTGATGTCATATTTTGTATTGTGCCACATGACATTCTAGACTGTGATTGTTTGTATATGTGCTTTGTTCAACTCATAACTAAACAATAAAAACATTTATAAAAAGAAAAAAAAAAGCTGAAGCTCTTTTGGGGGCTCTATCCGAAGCCGAGCTCACGAAGAGGCAACTTCCCCGTTCAGCCTCACTCCCGGGATCCCTCCTGCGTTCCTGCCTTTGACCCAACACATTGACCATCATGCTCGCATGCTACCCAGGAACCCAGCCTTCATCCATCAACCCTTAGTCTTCCATCCCTTCGTTCCTCAACCCTCATCCCTTCATTCCTCACTCTATATCCCTTGATCTTTACCCTGTCATCCCTAACTTTTCATCCATCTGGTCCTTGACCCTCATCCCTCATCCATTCGACCCTCAACTCTTCATCCGTCAACCCTTCTTCCCTCATCCCCCCAACCATTCGACCATCATCCATTCATCCCTCATCCTTTTGAACCTCAACCCCTCATCCCTTCATTCCTCATCCATTCGGCCCTCATCTCTTCATCCCTCCATCCCTCATCCATTCGACCCTCATCCCATCATCCCTTCGAACCATACCCCTTCACGCTTTTCCTCCGAAATCCATCATACGCAATAAGTCATTCAAAATCTTTACCTTATTGGTGTGGTCTTTGTTAGTGAAATGTAGTTTTATAACTAGGTTTGGGAACAAAGACCACACCTTGAACATGAATGAATGTAACAGTGAATGTTAATTGTGAGCTACAGTTTGTCAGAACTGTCATACCGGTGGAGCTATGTTCTTTATAAATGAAAACAACAGAATCAAGGTTATTAATTTACTGTATTCCAATGATTAATTATAGCTATTTAAATATTGTTGAAAAAACAATCATTAGACCTAGATATCTAATGAACATTCACTTCACAACCAGATTGAAGCTGGTTTTGATGTTTTTTGACCTTCAAATCAGCAAATCAATGCTGGCATTCAAGGGCTATTTTCAAAACAATTTAGTGTGGGGTTTTGTTACTTATCCATAGTCAGTGTATTACCTAGTGAAGATGGCAGTCAGCACATTCCCTGTTTGGAGAAGCAAACGGGTGTACCACCACGGAAGCTAAGCAATGTACTTCTGTGGCCGGGGGCCGCAGGAAAAAAATGCTTGGCCTCCCGAAAAGACCCATTTTTAAAATATAATTTCCGTTAAAATGTATACTATATTTGAAATATTTACATTGCTTTACCTTACACACTTACCTATCGAGGCAGTGGTAAACCAGCAACACCCATATATCCGCTAAGTAAAATTACTATTATGGTTAATGGAGTCTGGCGGCCTTTAGATAACCATTTAAGTTCCCCATCAGAAAAGGCTGTCTGACTGCAAAGTACAGTGATGAAAAAAAAAGATAGCATACACTTGAGCTGATATTGACTTTTTCAGGTATAATGTTTTTTAGGTGGATAAAAGCTAAAACAAGTAAGGAAGCAATTGCTCAGTACTGTTTCAATTCATGTACATGACAGAGATTTTCTACCTGGGAGTTATTGTAAACAAACATTGTGATTAGGTCGATAGGTCCGAACATCAGAGGAGCTTCTGTAATGCCACAATGCCATCACTCGAGTTATACTGTAGCTCTCAGTGACATTAAAACTTTTCTACTGTTACTCACAATGACATAGGCCATTTTCTGAAACGGAGAATCAGGTCTTGACATTGTCCAGAGTTTTTCTTTCACACACATAGCACATAACAGGAGACTGTAGTTGAGGAATGGCACCTGGGTAGGGCATGACGAAGGCAGGACATGATGCGGATTACTCAAGTAAAAAGGCTCAAGGAAAAGTATTTGTAGCTTTTGGGAGGGTCGAAATTAAAACAAACAAACAAATGAAAACAAAACAAAGTCACAGTCAAGCCACTCCCCTCCTCTGATATCTCTGATGTATTAGAGATATGAGTTAAATTTACAGGAAAAGCAACTTGCCCTCTTCCTGTTATCAACATTCCATCACAACAAGTGTGATTCAAACCACGTCGAGTTTTAGTATGTGACTGGGTTCCTCTAAGAAGAGTCCAAAGATGGATCAGGTTGGCTGTGTTTTGATATTGTAATGAAAAATTGAACAAAGAGACATTCATGAGGACAGGTACGTGTTCTCTTCCTGGTTGAAAACAGCTGTTGTCACTACGACAACCACAGACGCATTTGGCTTAAAGTCGCCAGTTAACATGCTTGTGAGTAAATCCGAAACACTGGTCATGATAGATTGATTTAGGTGGTAGACATTTGTAAAATCAACCAATAATTGAGTTTGTACATTTATTTTAATATTAGCTGTTTGTTGGCTTGACTTAATGCCCGAAGTGAAAATTATGAACAGGTTAGGGACTTGTCAGAGGAGGGAACGGCAGCGGTGTGACTTTGTTTTGTTTTATTTTATTTTTTGACTCTTTATGAAGCTACAAATATTTTTCCTTGAGCCTCCCTGAGTAAATGGTGGAAATGCATGATACTCCCTCCACCATAAATGAGTTATTAGATTTTTAAAACTTACCCTTAGATGTTTGAAAGCTTAAAGTTGAAGATGAAATCCTGGAGTTTAAAAAAGCATTAGTATTTCACTCCTGCCATGCATGCTGGTTAGTTGATGCAAACAGTTCATTTTGGCTACATTTTAAATGACACAGAATAAAGCGATACGGTGATGCAGTGGTTAGCATTGCGGCCTCACAGCAAGAGGGTTGCAGAGTGGGGGAGCCCTTCTGTGTGGAGTTTGCATTTTCTCCCCTTGTCAGTATGGGTGTGAATAGGTGTAGGTGTGGATGGTGAATGGTTGTCTGTCTTTACAGCCCCTTTTCCACCGCAGGAACTTTAATCATTTACCCGGGATTTTGGAAAACCTTAAACTTTCCCTGCAAAAAGTACCTAGTAGGGGGGTAGGACTTTTCAGATTACCCGGAATTCTTGAGGGGCTGTGTGCTGAAGAATGCTGATTGGTGAAACACACACTTGCAGCGTTCGGCACTTCTGTGCCAGTGTGGCTTTAATCTTCATTTCATTTCTATAAGCTTCACTTCATTTGTGTTTTGATTAAGGATGGGTACCAAAACCTGGTACTAAATTAGCCCCGGGGTTAAATTATCAAATTGATAAGCCCTAACGGTATTGGTTCTTTTGTGCTGGGGCTACTACAAATACACACACACACACGCCTACACAACACGGTAACCGGTGAACAGCCGTGCGGCCTCGGTGGAAACAAAGTTAGGATAACTCGAAAATTACTCAAGTTGATGGCAGCTACACTCGTTACTGTAAGTGACATTAACCCTTAGCGAGTAAGAAGCCAATACTTTATCAATACATGTGTTCAGCAAGCATGAACATATAAACATGTAGTTAGCGATATGCTCCATCCTCCGTCACTAACGTTATGTCTTACACACTGATTTAGACAGCATGCTAGTTTGTCTGATAGAGAATTGTTACAAACAAGCTCAAATGACAGCTTTCTGTATGTAGACTAACTTACTTTGACACTTATCTTAAAATACTTTTAAACTAAGCTGCTGGCTGAGACAAACAGCCCCTGCCTCTTGCCCAATGTTTGTTAGGGAAAGGCTCCAGACCCCTGCGACCCCGAACAGGATAAGCAGTTACGGACAATGAATAAATGAATGAATGAACTTAGAATAAGAATATGATCAGATCTGGTTTTGTTTTTTGTTTTTTTGTTTGATGGAAGCGTTTGTCACACATGATGTGTCCAAGGACTGTCAGAAATGTGAAAATCCAATGATCAGTCATTTTTGTTTTTACAGTTTTTGGCTATGTTACATTGCATAATTTTGGCCTTTTTTGGCAAAGAATACATGCAGGATTGGATGGCATGTTTTCTTGAAATAATCGGCTGTAAAATAAATACAAAATACAGCCATTTGTATTTGTTAGCCAAAATCAGAAACACAAGTCCTTCCACAATGCTTTAAAAATATTTGACATGCCCCCCCCCCCCCCCCTTTTTTTTTTAAAATAAGAAATCGTCCCTTAAGAGTCATGCTGTCCAGATCAAATATTAGTGTTGATTAGCAAGCCAACAATAAATGACCAAATGATTCAGAGAAAAGTGGTCTGTCTAACGAAGGCATATCTGAGGCTTGAGACACATCTCAAACTTAGCAAATTTAGATCTATTTCAAAAGTTGTGGTCAGAAGATGTTACTAAGACATGAATATATGCATCCTCCACAGGCAACTTTGACAGAGTCACTGATCTCAGTCAGAAGCAGAGCAGCTTGCAGTCTTTGAAGAACAGCAGGTGAAGCAGGTGTTGACACATACGGAGTCAGGAAGAGGACTAATTCACCTGTGCAGAGAAGGATCAGAGAAAAAAGGAGGAGGACACGAAGAGAGCTGCAGATGGCTGGCTTTCTGGATAACTTCCGCTGGCCAGATTGCGAATGCATTGACTGGGGGGAGAGGAGGAATGCTGTGGCTTCTATTGTCTCTGGAGTTCTGGTCAGTGGCTCTTGAGATATAGAAAATGGCTGAATGACTGACAGGCAGAAAAAGAGAAGTGTTACAGTAAAATTTTAGAGTGTGACTGACTTTGTGTGAGTTTATGCAAAGGACAAGATTGTCATGGGACTGAGTTTCTTCCTCTATGTCATACAGATGTGATTATAAGGAGCTTTTAGGACTGTGCCATTTGTAATCCTCTATCTCTCTATATTCTCTCTTTTCCACCAGTGTTCCCCAACATTACAACATAAGAGAGTCATATAAAGGAACAGCATCTCATGTATCCAAATGTCAACCCTGTATTCTCTTGTCCCAGTTCTTCACAGGCTGGTGGATCATAATTGATGCAGCAGTGACATATCCATCCCAGGAGCAGATGAACCATGCGTTCCACATGTGTGGCGTCTTCTCTACCATAGCATTCTTCATGTAAGTGCTGCACACTATCTGTCTGTCTGTATGAATAATCACAGTAAGTAGCTGGGTGCATACACAGGGAACAACTCCTGGAAGCAGTGTCTCCAAGAAAAACACTTAGCAGTGGTCAGGAGTGGGAAATTGGAATTTGAAGTCTCGAATTTAATTTACAGTGGTCTCAAATATTTTTACTTGACTGCTGCAGACAATAGTTTTAAATTTGGCTTTGGGGACACAGTAGCTAGGAAGCCCATCAACTCATAATGGGACAATTGCTAACTGTAGCTAAGACTTAGATCAACAAATTCATTATTCATTTCCTGGTTAATTGATTAAAGCAAGGTAGGTTTGCTTTGGATGTACGCTGCTCAAAAAAATAAAGGGAACACATCATCATCACAGTGTAACTCAAAGTCAATCAAATGCTGGGATATCAACCTGTCCAGTTAGGAAACGATACTGATTGTGAATCAGTTTCACCTGCTGTTGTGCAAATTGGACAGACAACAGGTGGAAAGGATAGGCAATTACCAAGACAACCCTTTTAGGGTTGGGCAATAATACGGTAATAAGGTATCCCGTGTTATCTAAAAATAGCAACGGTATCAGTTTCATTACCATCATTAAAAAAATATGCCGCGCATATAGGCCTTATTTATTTGATGACTAAATAATGAGTGTTTGTCCAGCACCTATGTATGCGTGGTTGAGTTTTCAATTTCATACTATTACAATTTAAAACTAATAGTAGGCTATAATGTTTCTCTTACAACTGCCCTTTACTATTGTCGGGAGATGACATATGATAAAGTTTTTGGATGTGACGTCGTCACGTGACAGCTCGGACGTGAGAAAGAGCATCAAGCGAGTTGGTCCCAAAAAGAAAAACACAACTTCGCCAAGCAGCAGCAGTGGCAGCAGGTCCAGTGGCCATCAGAGTGGAGGAGGGAGAAGCGCAACCTCAACCACCTGGCACCGCGGCCAAAATTGTCAATCCATTACATGCCCTGCTCCAACTGGAAAAAGTAGGGATGTCCCGATCCAGCTTTTTCACTTCCAATCCGATACCGATATTACAGCCTTGAGTTTTGGCCGATATCGATACCGATCCGATCCAAGCACGTATTATACATATTCACTTATTTTGTTGTCAGTCATGTTAGAAAAGGTTTGATCAAGCAAAGAACAACTACTTAATCAGGTTAGTTAGAATGATCCACAACAGTTGGTATGAGAAACTGACCTGTTTATTGTTAACAGGGTTAAATAAACAAACTTTAAACTTGAACATTAACATTAAATAAAAAATATAGCTGGTTTGCTTTGGCTGCTTTGGCTCCTTAATAAATAGAAAATAAATCAACACAAGAAATCTTTAAAATGTCTAACATTGAAATTAAAATAGCAGCAAGACTCCACACACTTGTGCTTTGGCCCCCTAATAAATAAAAAAAAGATTAACACCACAAGACATTGTTGGCATTTAACAAACAATGCAGCCTTTGCTTTTCAGTTATTTTAGTAGTGTTTTTGTAGTCCATCCATGGCTCCAATTTCACTAATTGTGCCCAAAACAATGCCATCAGTGCTCTTTACTTAAACAGTAAGAGTGTTAACCAAATAAAAATATCACTCTCAAAAAACCAGAGCAGAAAACAAATAGTCAGTTAACTAAATTGACCGCTACGTTTCCTACCCTCTGTGTATCTGCCGTCTGCATGCTGGCCTGGTGGATTGATAGTAAGAGCTGGAGCGGATCACTGGAATGGACTGCTTGAATCGCGGAGCGCTGGGCTGGCCGGAAAACCTGGCACGGATCCCCTGAAAAACTGGATCGGAGTTCATGGATCGGCATTTTTCCATGCAGTCCGATCCGATGCCCGTTTTTTGCTAATATCGGCGGCCGATATTCGGATCGGGACATCCCTAGGAAAAAGTACTGAACATGCTGGTTTTTCTGGCGTAAAACCTTGAATAGTTTTGAAGCGTATGATGCTGCTATAGTTATCATTATACTTTGTTTTTATTTCATTTTCAATGAGGAGTAGCCTGTTCTGTTCGAAAAAACAGTTTGGACTTGCATAGGGTGAACTTTTCAAACTTAAGGTAGGCTGTAAAAATAAACCAGCAAACAGTATTTCCTGTTGCATTCTCAGGATAGGATTATATATGCTCATTTTCAGTCATGCCTTATTTATTGTTCTGTTTTTCTTATTTGATGAGCCCTAGTACTGGATGCTGTAGAGCTGCGTGCTTTAATTTATTTAATTTATGTTGATAGATCAACATCGGACAATACTCGTCGTGGTCTCAGGATACGCTGTATAGCACACATTTTCGTTACTGCCTTTGTTATTTATTAGGGATGGACTATTGCTTGTTTAAACAGTTGTACAATATTGCGTGCCTGTGCACCAGGCTGGCACTGACTACTAAAATAACTGAAAAGGAAAGGCTGCATTGTTTGTTAAATGTCAACAATGTCTTGTGGTGTTAATCTATTATTTATTTATTAGGGGGGCAAAGCACAAGTGTGTGGAGTCTTGCTGCTATTTTAATTTCAATGTTAGACATTTTAAAGATTTCTTGTGTTGATTTATTTTCTATTTATTAAGGGGCCAAATCAGCCAAAGCAAACCCTGTTAACAATAAACAGGTCAGTTTCTCATACCAACTGTTGTGGATCATTCTAACTAACCTGATTAAGTAGTTGTTCTTGTTAGAGTAATATCGCTTGATCAAACCTTTTCTAACATGACTGACAACAGAATAAGTGAATATGTATAATACGCGCTTGGATCAGATCGGTATCGGCTAAAACTCAAGGCTGTAATATCGGTATCGGATCGGAAGTGAAAAAGCTGGATCGGGACATCCCTATTATTTATTGTTACTTTTTTATTATTTGATAAGCCTGTAAGTATTGGATGCTATAGGGCTGTGTTTTAATTTAATGATTTGTGTTGATTACTGTAC